GTCATATCGAATACTTCATGGGTAGCTTGCCAGGCTTTGCCAAGTGCACGAGATACTCTCAGTAGCTTGCTGGGATCTTCGAGAGGGGTGGAGGAATCGCGGAGAAATCAAACCCGGCTTGGCTGGCCAGCCGCTGTCACCAATGAGTCAAAAAATTAACTGTATAATCTCACACATATCACTTGATCACTTGATCACTTGACATCCCTTTACTCATCGATTTGCTCGAGTGGGTGCCAGTAATGTCTCCATTTGTCCCTGTCACGTGCTAATGTAGCCCAATGGCATCTGCTTGTTCTAGGAACACAAACAGCCTCAAACTGATCATTCAGGGTCTTGACGAAAAGGTCTGACCATATCATAGGTGGGCGGCCACGCAATCTTTTGACGTCCTGTGAAATCCAGTCGGTAACGGCTCTTGTCCAGCAGTTGTCTCCAAATCTCATTACTTTTCCAGCTCATATGATTTACAACGTCTTGGCAAATGAGACAGTGTCCCTGATTCTTGACCTGTTTCCATGGAGGTCAGAACTCCGGATTGTTTCTCTCATTTGAGTAAAACATGATACTCCAAGCATAGCTCTTTTGATTGCTCTTTGGGAGACCCGAATAGCGTTCTCATCCTGTTTTCGTAGGGCCCAGGTCTCTGAGGCATGTGTTAATGCAGGAAGAACGGTGGAATTGAAGGGATGTGGCCGGAGCCAGAGGTTCTTCATTCTCTTAGCTATTTCTTCAACGTTCTTGAAGACATTCCAAGACTCTCCCTTCCTCCTGTGCAAATCAGGTTCCAGGTCATTCGTCATGTTGACTTCTCCACCTGGGTTCAAATAACTGTGCATTTGGAGATGTTTGTCCCATTGAGAGTGAATGGAACATTAGGAACGAGACTGTTTCTCATAAACATTGTCTTTGTGTAATTCAGCTGCAGTCTGACGTTTCCACGAAGCCAGCCAGAATTTGTGCCGCTTGGCTGATGTTTGGTGTTATAAGAATAATGTCATCAGTGAAGTGGAGGTGGTATAATTGCCGACGGTCTGTCTTCACTCCCATTCCTTCCCATCCCGGTTGTCGCATGACGTTCTTGAGGGAGGCACTGAAGAGTTTCGGTGAAATGGTATCACCCTGCCGAACCCCTCTCTTGACATCATTGAACATCTCCCTGTAGAATGGTGAGATCCTGGTAGTGAGTCTGCAATATAGCTCACAGAGGATCTTGATGTACTGACTTTGAACACCCTGTTTGGCTAGGGCCTCTATGACCACTTCAGTCTCAACAGAATCAAAGGCCTTTAAATCAATGAACGTTAGACAGAGAGGCATCTTGAACTCCCGAGAAACCTCAATGAGCTTGGTTATCATGTGGATATAGTCGATTGTGCTAAATCCTTTGTAGAAACTAGCTTGCTTGGTTGTCCTTCATCTAGTGTTCTGCCAATCCCATTCAGGAAGAATTGAGTGAACAGCTTGTAGATGACAGACAACAGGCAGATCATGTGATAGTTGCCAATGTTGTGGATGTCTCCCTTCTTGTACAGTAGTACAGTCCTGCTGGTTTTCCATTGGGATGGAGCCTTGTATTCAGACAGGTAGCCTATGAAGAGCCGAGCCAGTTTATTGATGAGTACTGACGACAGGTTCTTCAGGTGTTCGGGTCTGACCTTGCCTTGTCCGGGTGCTGTTTGCTTCTTTACCAATGAAATGGTGTGTTGGATTTCTGAATGGAGAAATTTGGGAAAGACATATACATCCTGCGGAATTTGTTATGTGGGCAGGGGGATGTGGCTATTGAAGAGATCCAAGTGAAGTTATGGATAATCTTCTCCATTGCCCTTCTGGAAGATGTCATACATCCATCAGGACATCAGAGGGACATCATCTTGGTCTTGTAGTTGGTGAAGGACAGGCAGGCATTGCGAATGCTTTTCCCAGGTTCTGCTGCATCTGCCAGCACTGCTGCTCTTCTCTCTTTGAGTTCTTTCTTTATCGCTTCTCTGCACTGCTTTGCGAGCTTGGACTTTTGCTTACAGTTGCCTGAGGCTTGCGCCAAGCCACGTTGGCAATTGAGCTTGAGAGTTTTTGAAGACAGGCATCTTTTTGTGGCTATCTTTCTCTTGGCGTTCTTCATACAATCATGGAGGTACTGAACCAGTCAATCATATTCCTCATCAATGTTGTCAATGATGGCATCTTCCCATGTTGCCGCAATAGTGCCAAAGAGCTCCCAGTTGGTGGTCGTTCTGGGAGTTCTCTTCATAAAATTAAACTTTGAAGCCCTTTCTCCCCACTTTGTGAAGTAGAATTTTGCACGAAGGCGATAATGGTCCCATCCCATTTGGAATTTTGGGACAGCAGAGACATTGGTCTGGCAAGACTGTCGATTGAATGTGATGTGGTCTATTTTGTTGTGGAACCATCCACTGGGAGACTCCCATGTCCAGCATTTAGATTCAGCCTTTTGGAATTGTGAGTTACCATGGATGATCTTGGTAGACATTATGAACTCAGACAGTATGTCAACCTGTTTGTTCTTTTCTAGGCCATGGATCCCAATGTGGAGTTCTTCGGCTGATCTTCTTGGCCCTATCTTGGCATTAAAATCACCACCAATGATCTTGTAGAAGGTGTGGTCTTCTTTATAGAACTTCTCCAGCTCCATGTAGAACTTAACAATTTCTCCTTCATCATAATTGCTGTTGGTGCATAGACAAAGAAGATAGAAACTGCTAGCAGGGACCCACATCTATTCAAGTGTAATCATACGATTCAGGTTGTTAGGCATTCAAATGAATCAATGTTTATGGCCAGGTTCTTGTTGACAAGGACACCGACATCAACTGATTCCTCTTTTGTCACATGTCCCGAGGAACAGTTCTTCCCCAGTGTTGAAAATGGCATGATGTGATTGATGCCTTCTTGTCTCAGTCAGACCAATGATGTTGTACTTGATCTTTCGCGCTTGCACCATCAGGTCCTCAATGGATGCATTCGATGCCAGTGTACGTGCATTGAAAATGCAGACAGTCATTTTTGTCTTTCTTCACTGTGGCAGCCGAGGTCAGCCTTGAGATTTTGTGAGCCTCTCCTTCCTCATCCTTCTTAATGCTGCCATGCTGGTGACTCTTTCAGAGTCAGTGGAATGAAACCCATTGTATTTACTGGTTTTGGCATATCAAATACACCACGGATAGCTTTCCATGTTCTGCCGTGTGGGCGGAACACTCTCAGTAGCTTTCCAGGCTCTCCAAAAGGAATAGAGGCTTTTAGGGTGGCCTCTAATAGTCCTTGCCGGTGTTCCCATGGTTCAAACTATGTTTCAAAGCAATAAAATATTGCATATATGTGTATAGATATATGCACATTATATTGTAACACTGTAGCACTGTCCTCTCATTGTTCATTGATTTGCTTGAGTGGGCACCACTAACAAGAAGTCTCACATTATATCGTAAAATAAATATTTTCTTCTGTGTACAAAGAAAAATATTTTAATAAAATACAAAGTTTCAATCAATGAATTCAGGGCAAAACTATTATAATTTGGTGGTTGCCATCTAAATGCAGTGGAATCCAGTTTGGTTTCCTTTCCTTATATTTTCATGTAGAGCTATTTTAAAGTGGTTAAAATTTTACATGACTCTCAGAAGAGCTCCTTCAATGCAAGTAATGAAACCCAACTCAAAAAGAAGGGAAAAGTAGATTCTATTGAAACTTCTTTTTCCCTTACATTTGATGTACAATTATAGTATCATCAGTTTCTCAAGGTATTCAAATCATATAAAAAGCAAACTTGTCAGATTGCTTTTTAGAATGTCTTTTCCCTTTCCAAAAATCAACAATAGTCTATGAAATAAAACTATACTTCTATTAATTGATTCTAAATGTAATTTCACATACATAACAGACAATTTTTTTTACTAGTGAAACACCATGAGGTACAGTTGTAGACTTACAAGTTTTTGTGCTTGGGTTTCAGTTATAAAATGATCGAGTACCTATCCCTCCACCAGTGCCCATTCTCCACCTCCAGTGCTCCTAGTATCCATCCCACCCCCTCCATCCCCCCCCATTGCACCCCACCCCTGTGTCAGGGCATTCCCTTTTGTTTTCTCTCTCCTTTTGAGTGCTGTAGTTTTCAAAAGAGGCACTGAGTGGCAATCATGTTTGGTCTATAGTCTACTTTCAGCATGCATCTCCCATCCTGGGAGGATCCTCCCAACACCCTTTATTTGGTGTCCCCTTCTCTATCTGAGCTGCCTTTTCCCCTAGCATGTGTGGCTGGCCTCCAAGCCATGGAGTGACCCTCTTGGTACTATATCGGATCTTCTTGGGTGTTAGTCTCCTATTTTGTTACTTTATATCCAGATTAATGCAATATTTCTATGTCTGTCCCTCTCTTTTGGACTCATTTCACTTAACATGATACTTTCCATGTAGAACCCACGTCTATGTAATTTTCATGACTTCATCTTTTTTTAACAGCAGCATAGTACTCCATTGTGTAGATGTACCAAAGTTTTTTAACCAGTCATCTGTCCTCGGGCACTCAGGTTTTTTTTCCAGATTTTGGCTATTGTGAATAGTGAAGAAATGAACATAGAAGTGCAAATGTCATTTTGACTGTACTTTTTTGCTTCTCCGGGATATATTCTCAGAGTGGTATAGCTGGGTCAAATCAAAGCTCAATTTTTAATTTTTTGAGAATTGTCCATACGGTTTTTCCAAACAGGCTGAACCAGTTGGCATTCCCACCAGCAGTGAAGGGGAGTTGCTTTCTCACCAAATCCATGCCAACACAGGTTGCTTTTGTTCTTTTGGGTATGGGCCAGTCTCTGTGCTGTGAGATGATATTTCATTGTTGTTTTGATCAGCATCTCCTTGATGATTAGATGATTAGTGATGTAGAGCATTTTCACATGTGCCCTTTAGCCATTCAGATTTCTTCTTTGGAAAAGTTTCTGTTCATTTCATCACCCCATTTTTTCTTTTTGAGCTGATGAGTTTATTTCAATAGTAAGTTTGAAACCCTTTCCTTATGCAAGAGAACTGCAGTAATTACTCTCAGGAAGACAATTTTCTACACTGTCAAAAGTTCCTTTTGCACTTTCCTCAACACTGATCAACGCACAGTTTTAGTCCACATTTAGTTTGATCAATCTACTGAGTTAACGTAAGCTTCTTCTTCTTCAGAGACTCTGGCATCTCAGGAGGAGGAGAGTGGGGAAGCCTGAAGTAGACCTTCACAGAATCATAAATGAACCACTGGAGGGAAGTCAGAGTGCCAATCATGATGATGCGGGCGAAGAGTTCCTTCCATGCACCTCTAAATCCAAGTCTCTGAAGGACCTGAGAAGCAGTGCTTCCTTTCTCTTTATTCACGACAGACACCACAGAATCAGCAGGGTGAGAAAACTTTGCACAGAAGATTCCAGCTATATAACCTGCGACAAATGTTACAACCAACTGCTCTGCCTTCGAACATTCATCTCTGGGATTGGGAACCACAAACTTGTACAGTAGTTCAACAGTGCGTTCAAAGCAGGTCAAGTTCATCATGGTATACGGTATCTGTCTCATCCACAGAGGAGCAACCCCCTTGTAGAATGCATTTAATCCTTACTCCCTGTACATCTGTACATTTTGGGAGCTACATCTCTCAAAGTGTTGACATAACCAGGTTGGGTTTGAATTCGAACCTTAGAAGCTTCCACAGAAGCCAGGGAAATGTCAGCAAAGATTTCAGCACTGGCAGAGGGAGCCAAATATAGTGATGCCTGCCAGAGGTATGTGTTTTCCTCGCCTAGCATGTTGCTATACACCACTTTGAAGACTTCATAAAAGCCAAACTTGCAGAGGACCTGCGTGGAGTAGCCAATGAAACTCAGAGCCCATCCTTTGGCCATAATCATCACCCCATTTTTTGATGGGTTAGATGTTTTCTTCTTCTAGAGTTCAACCAGTGCTTTGTATATCCTTGATATCAATCCCTTATCAGATGGGTATTTGGTAAATATCCTTTCCCATTCTGTAGATTTAGACATAAAATGTAATGCAGACAAAAATAGTTAATTGCAGTGGAAAGCACATTTTCATTTTGGAAGGCTTCCCAAGCAAGGCTCATGGATTTGGGGAGTCAGTGCTACTATTACTTGTACAGCTGTGCTAGGTTGTTCAGTGCTCTGACTCACTGATGCAGCAATACTCAGGCCTAAGTGATGTTTGGGGTCATTTGGTGCCAGGATTATCAGTTGGGCCTTGAGCACACAGGTATACCCTCCAACTTTTGCAACTCTCTCATTGGTCTTGAGCCTACATATTTTTAAACTTTTTTACTCTAAACTCACACTAGTACTATAGAAGGCATGCAACTTTACAAGATATTTGGTCTTTAAAAGAACTAATTATTTTTTAGAGATAAAACGTGATGGGAGATGTAGCTTATTGTGTCTTTAAAATTATTTTAAAATCAAGTTTGAATTAAAAGTATTTAGAGACAAAGAGATAGTTCAGTATGTAAGGTGCTCACTTTGCATGCAGCAGACCTGGTTTTGATCCCAAATACCTTATGTGGTATCTTGAGCCCTACCAGGAGTGATCCCTGAATTCAGAGTCAGAAATAAGCCCTGAGTATGGCTTGGTATGGCTTAGAAAAAAATTCAAAAAGGAATATTTAACTAGTTCAAAGTGGCATAGGGTCTATTTAAAGAAGAGTGGATATCATTTTTTGTAGTTCCAGAGCTAAGCAAAACGTTTGCTTATAGAATGACGATGAAAGTAGCAATAACTAGAGATGACATCAAGGAGATAAGGAGCAATTAATACAAGATTTGGAAAACCAAAATAAAGTGTTGAGATTTTATCCTGAAAGCAATATTTCTTTTTAGTCCTTCAAGTAATAGAGGCTCATGGTCAAATCTGTCTCATAAATCACACTGTACATGAAGTAGAGATGGAATGTAGATGCAGGAGTAATAGTTGAGACTGTTCTCATAATCCAAACAGCCTCATAGTAGAACAAAATAAGGATAATGGGAGCGGCATAGGTCAAGTGGTAGATTACTGGGAATTATAAATTTATAAAAGCTGGAGGTAACATAGATATGGGACTTTTGAACAAGAGACAGTATACAAAAATATATTTTTAACTTGGGTAACTAATAATTATGATTATATTTAGAAATATAGGCAAAATACCATTGGGGGAATCAATATTAAATAAGCTTACAGTGAAAAAAATTGGCAATAGAGATTAAAATTTAATGCTACATAATATGAATATATTCAGAATAATTTTGCAACAAAGGCTTCTTATTTTAATGCACATTTGATAATAATCTTTACAGATAATCATTAAAGCATCATCTAAAATTACATAGGAATGGAAGTAAGAACAGTTAGATAAGATATAAAATTCAGGAATATTGGCATCATGAGTGACTCGAGAATAATATAAAGGAGGGTTATAACATTTCGGATTGGGCTATAAGAGAGACTATAAATTCTAATCTATGGATCCTCTGAATGAATAGATGCATGCAGAGGAATATGCGGAATAATGTAAAAATATTATTAACGGGTCAGTACCATAGGGATTTTGAATTCAGTGTCATTAAACTGGTCTGAGAGAGAGAGACAGAGAGAGAGAAAGAGACTCAAAAGGGAGAAAGTGAAAGAGAGAAAACTAGATGCTGATTAAGTGAACTGATCAAGAGAAATACAAGTTAAATAACAGTAAATGATTGAAATATGGTGAAAAGTAATTCAATGGATTTACATTTTTCAATCCCAACTTTGGACATGGAAGAGAGATCAATCATTTTGCTTCTGTAAGGGATTTCAGGGACTCTGAGCCAGGCTGTTTTCACTCGGGGTGCCCCAGAGGGGGGCAAGTGAGAACCCTCCTTGCCCCAGGCACCCAACCCAGGCAACCGATCTCCACTATCCAACTACTGTCACACTCCAGGCCGCTTTTCACACACTCAGTCCGAGCCTCACATATGTGTGAACATATTCCTGGACGGCATGACAACTTTTGTGCAACACATCATAAGACACTCCCTACCCATTTTCCATAATTACCACACCATATATGATAGCATACGTATATGTATGCCTCTCGGAGAGCCCAGCAAGCTACCACGGGTATCCCGACTACACAGCAGAGCCTGGAAAGCTAGCCATGGCGTATTTGATATGCCAAATACAGTAATAATGGGTATCATTTCTCTGACCCTGAAAGAACCTCCGATACATTGGGAAAGATGAGTAAGTAAGGCTGCTAAAGTCTCAGGGCTGAGATGAATAGAAACGTTACTGGCACCTGCTTGAGTTAATTGAAGAACAATGGGAAGTCAGTGATACAGGGGATTTTGAGGTTCAGAAATTTCTTCCATGAGATATGGAAAGGGTTTGAATACAATTTGAATACAATTTGAATAATTCAGAAGGGAGCGAGAACATGAAGATAGACTGAAAATTGGTGTACAGAATGAAATTTCTGTCAAGTCCTTTCGGGATAGTTATCAAAAGATAAGTGAAAGTTAGCATTCTAAACAAAAATATAATGAGAAATGAAAAATATAATTGACTTTGAGGACATTTACTTCACTGTCTTTCTCTAGTATGTTGTTAGTTACAGCCCATATTACATAAAATGCACTATTTTGAAGAATAAATCATAAACATATTTGGTATATTCACAAGTATTCACATATGTTAGTATGTTTTCTTTATAGTACTTTTTATAACCACCAGAAAGAAATTTGATACATGTTTTTAGTCAATTCTAAATTCGATCCCCTAAACCAGCAGACATCTAAATTCTATCTTTATGGACATATTGATTTTGTTCATTCCTAGAAATAGATGAACAGATCTAACTTTACTTAGGATAATGTTTTTCAAATTAATCCAAATTGAGGCATGTATTTATAATCCATTGTGTTTTTTTTTTGTTTACACTTTTTAAAATCTGTGATTTACCAAGTAGTTCATGAAACAGTTGTTTCAGGCATTAAGTGTTCCAGTTCCAATTCTACTACCACTGCCCTCCAACAATGTCCCCAGTTTCCCATCCATAACCCCAGCCCACCTTCTTGCAGGCACAATTAACTAATTTCATATTTCATCTTAAAACAAAAGGAACATGAATTATCAAATCTTAGATCAATAAGAATAAATTTGTGATCCTGTCCTATCTCACAATGATGTTACTAAAGTCATTGTCTGAGGATCTACCATGCTGGTTGGTGCTAGTTGAGCCCGTATTCAAATTGTTTAGGCTCACTGAGCTTGGTGGGTTTCTATGCAACTTCCCATTCAGATTTGCTGTGATCCTACTAGGCTGACAGTGCTACGAAAATGTGAGGTGTTGTGTGCCCCTGTGTGCAGCAGCATGTTCCACAAGACATAGATCTGAAACAATCTAGTGGCTTGCCACTTTACTGATGCTCAGTTGTGGAACTGAGCCATTTCAAGCCAGAGGCTGCCGGGTATGGCCGTGGGGTGCTTTGCCCTCAAGCAGAAAAAGGGAATCCACCTACCTCCACATTCTGAGAAGTTCCAGACACTCAACCCCCACAAGTCTAACTGGGGAGATTTGACAAGAGATTTGTTCTCTTGGAGCTGTGACGCTGGGCCATTTCTCTGCCAGCTAGGTGGCAGATACAGGTGAGGACTGCTTTTTTTTTTAATGGTGGTATCGGACAGGGGGCCCATTAGATGTATTCAGTCCACCCTCCATTGTTATACTCCATTGCTTTTTACAATCTGTAAGTAAGTGCTTGAGCTATCATAACAAAGTTGCATAGACTGAGCAGCTCAAGGCTCATATTTTTTTCTCATATTTCTGGAGACTGAAAGTTGGAGAACAAGGTTCTCATAGAGTTAGCTTCCCCTGAGGCTTCTCCACTCAGCCCATATATATCAACTACCATGCTGCCAACTCTGGTTCTTTTGGAGAATATCTCTCAGTGCATTGCTTGGTGTGTCCCAATACCGTTTTCCCCCCTCTAAAAAGAAGGTGCACATGTTTTTATTACAATTGAATTTACCTGGAACGTATTTAGCATTTTAGCAACGAGTAGTATACAATCTGTTGATTTGGGTGATGGGATTGCAAATTCCTTTGTGGTCCGAATTTCAATGTTTATATTACAAAAGAATGTTTGATTTTAACCAAATTCTTTTTTTAAACATGATATACTAAGATCATGTGCTATTCCTTATCTGCTTGATTAATTTCAAGTAAATATATTTACTGATGCTTCTACAATAAACCAACTGGATTCCTGTAATAAATGTCATTTGTCATAGTTACCATTTTTTACCACATTCTTCATGTTCTTTTTTAAAAAAAATTTTATTAGTGAGACACCATGAGGTACAGTTGTAAACTTACAAATTTTGTGCTTGGGTTTCAATTGTACAATGATCAAATACCCGTCCCTCAACCAGTGCCCATTTCCCACCACCACTGATCCCAGTTTGTTCTCTTTTTAATAATATTTTGAATACTGAATATGCAGTAAAACCTAAGAAGCAGACCTATTGGATTAAGATGAAGGACAATGAGACATTTGGTTTTGCGTGCTGTGTGGCATGATACATATACGTGACCAGTTGAGAACCTGTACTTCTGAAACATATTGAGTGTTGCAAACATATTACCAAAATAAATACATATGTATATATACATATTTTAATTGTGAAAATTGAACAGTAAAACCATTCTTAAATCTAAAACCTAAAATGCTACCAGGCAGGCTTACTCCATCACCTTGGAGGAGATCGTCACAGCTTATTACCTGCTTTATTCTCCTTCCCCATGAGGTATCTTGCAAATCCTTCCTGCAGGAAACCTTGGCTAAAAACAGTACAGCAAACTAATCCAATGCTGTCCTATAATAAACTGGCCAAA